TTAGGAAGCTGTTTTTCGCTCCGTTTTAGAATCTTTTCTCTCAGTTTTTAGGTGGAAACTCTTGCCACCACGTTGGACGCCATTTGTAGCTAGAGTTTTCCTGCCTGGCCCACAGTCAGGACAAATCTCTATCACCTGCCAGTCCCACAGCCACTCAGACCCAACCAAATAAACACAGAGACTTTTATTGCTTACAAACTGTATGGCCATGGCAGGCTTCTTGCTAACTGTTCTTATAGCTTAAATTAATCCATTTCTATTAATCTATATATTGCCATGTGGCTCGTGGCTTACCGGCATCTTCACATGCTGTTTGTCATCGTGGCAGCTGGCAGTGTCTCTCTAACTCAGCCTTCCACTTCCCAGCTTTATTCTCCTCCTTGTCCCGCCTATACTTCCTGCCTAGCCAATGGCCAATCAGTGTTTTATTTATTGACCAATCAGCAACACATTTGCATACAGAACATCCCACAGCAGGTCATTTAAAATTGTAATGGATAATTAAAAATAGATTAATAATTAGTCATCTATGGTAATCATACTCGTAGCCATGTTAGTGAAGTCTTCTAGGTATATATAGATATATTTCAGATAGATAGGTAATCTTCAAATACTTCAAAGACCTACAGAATACAGCATTTAAAATATTTTAAAAATTTAGACTTTCTCGACAGTGAGACATGTCTTCTCCTGGCAGCACCAATTTACTTCAGTGAGGAAGATGGGCATCGAAGACACTCCATATGGAGTTTATCCTCACCTTGGCAAAAACAGCCATTTGGGAAAGAAACTGTTCTTGCCTGGACTGCTTGATCAACTGGACATGCAGGAATCATAGAAAGGTGACCACTGAACTTTTCTTGGAAAAATGGTCCTTCAGGTTCCTGCTTCACAGAGGAAATTGCCAGACATTCTACAGGACATTGTACAAAGTAACTGAGAGACTCTAGCCCTGTGGGCTAAAGACAGATGCCCCAACTTTACAAAAAATCATTAGGTGACTGTCCAGGCTGCCAGCTGTCTCTGTCTACCCTGCAGGACTCCCAAAAGTTGCTTACATCCTTCTCCTATTTCTCAGGTAATATTGTATCCTTCTGAGGTCTTTGATGTAGTTGAAGCTAGATAGTTACAATTTTCCTTAGTTATGATGAAAGATAAGTTAGATATAAAATCTTAGACTCACAGATATAAGATAGATAGGATATCTTCTTTAATTTTGCCAAACACATATAGACTAGATATTATAAATAGACTAGACAGTATAACTGTATTCTTGCTTGATATTTGTTTTGTTATCTGTAATTTTACTATGTAAAAGTTAAAACCTTCCTTTAAAAAAAGGAAAGGGAAAGTGCTGTTGGATGTTCTGTATGGCAAATGTGTTGCTCTGATTGGTTAATAAATAAAACACTGATTGGTCAGTAGCCAGGCAGGAAGTATAGGTGGGACTAACAGAGAGGAGAATTGAGGGAAGAGGAAGGCAGGAAAAGGACAGGAGCCTCTGCCAGGACAAGGAAGATGTAAGATACCAGTAAGCCATGAGCCACATGGCAAAGTATAGATTAATAGAAATGGGCTAAATATAAGAGCAAGAGCCAGACAATTGTAGGCCTGAGCTAATGGCCAAGCAGTTTAAATAATATAAGCCTCAGTGTGTTTATTTTATAATTGGGCTGTCGGACTGCTGGGGGTTGGCGGGACCCGGAGAGAGAAGCTCTCCAGCTACACTCATATCTATGTGTGACACTTTTATAATACTACAACTATAAGGGCAAGGAAATTTGCTATTTGCAAAAGCATAAAGATTATGCTTTTTCAGACTCTATTGTTTCCAGCCATTTTTTGAGCACATAATATTTCCATATTAACTGTTCCTTTTATATTTAAATTATATATAATTTGAAATTCAGACAAACATTATTTTAATTTTTTTACAAGGCTAAAATTATGGCTGGCATGTCTGAAATCAGAACTCTTTTTATAATCATTTATTCTATTTGACTTTTTTTTCCTTTTTTTTTTTAATTTGTATTTTTATTTTGCAATACAGTTCAGTTCTACATATCAGTCACGGATTCCCTTGTTCTCCCCACTATGGCCCCCCTCACGTTCCCCCCAGCCCACCCCCATTCCCACCTTCTCCAGGGCAAAGCCTCCCCCGAGGACTGAGATCAACCTGGTAGACTCAGTCCAGGTAGGTCCAGTCCCCTCTTCCCAGGCCGAGCCAAGCGATCCTTCCTAGGCCCCAGGTTTCAAACAGCCAACTCATGCAATGAGCACAGGACCTGGTCCCACTGCCTGGATGCCTCCCAAACAGATCAAGCCAATCAACTGTCTCACCCATTCAGAGGGCCTGATCCAGTTGGTGACCCCTCAGCCATTGGTTCATAGTTCTCTATTTGACTTTTTAATCTGAGTCTGTGGTAGAAGCTAAGTCTTACTATTCCGTGTTAAATAAGCATTGTCTTTATAACTTTTATATATATATTCTTCTAAATAGTTTCTCTGAGATTTATCCATGTTTGGACAAGTTGTAAAATAAGATGGTTAATCCCAACAGTTCAGAAAATATTGAATGCGCATATGTATCCTTAATTCATACATTTATTAAATATTTTCATTTGAAAAGAATTCCAATTAGCATTCTTGCACACGGTATTTCCTAGGACTATTCTTTAAGAGACAAGCATACAATATTACAATTAACTGAATTAACTGAAAGTATGTAAAAATGCTAATGTTTAAGGTGCATACATATCCAGATCTGTCTGAAATCTATGTAAAATTTAATTTTACAATATTGAAAATGTAGGCATCTCAAAAGAACAGCCAGATTAATTAATACACAAAAGAGATTAGTATTTAAATACTTAGTGTCTACTTCAGACATTGATTGTTCAGAACAAGTTTGTGAATTAAAATTATTTCTAAAATATGAAGTTCTGGGAAGTGTGCCAAGGTCATGAGCTTGATGCAAACCAAGTACGCTAATAATATCTCTTATGTTACCTGAGTTGAATTATTCAGATGTAATCAATAGTGTCTAAATTTTCAAAGTTCATCAGACATCTACAATGTAATAATATTCTCAAAAGGCATGTTGTCTTCTGTAAAGGATGGCTATATATGATCTGGTGATTGTATTCCTCAAAGTTGGATTGCATTCTTTGGTCACACAGATAACTGGTTTGCTTTGAGAGGGTAGACTTCATAAATATAAAAATGTTTATGTATAAATTTCAGTGAGTTAGTTGACATGAATTTTACATATGTATTGTTTTTTCTTTATTTTATGTTATTTAGTAAATGCATTAGTTTCTCCTTTTCTCCTCATAATGTAGCTCCAGTTGGTTTGGAATTCACTTTGTAGTTAAGGATGACTTAAAATGTCTGATTCTTCTGATCCTCCCATCTGTTCCTCCATGACATTGGTATTAAAGGTATATACTTATGGGGTGCTGAGGCTCAAACTCAGGGCTTTATGCATGCTAAGTGATTACTCTCTTAACTGAGCTACAGCCTGAGGCTTAATGGATTAACTGTCTAAGTGCATATGAATCAGACATTTGAGCTTAGTCCTTAGGACTCTCAGCAGCTCTATGTAAATATAAGTCAGGAATGCACATCTTATCAAGTACTCAATTAATTATATTTCAAGTGATTAATTTTCTTTGTACTCTGAGAAACAATAACTGTATCTCTTATTTGAAACCAACCAACTATTATATAAACTTACTGGTAAAGGATATTACAATGGATAACACATTTATGTATCTCTCCCACAGTATATGAAGTAGCTAAATTGATTGACAAGTAAGTACTCCACTGAGTAAAGTTGACTTCATGTGTAATTCTACCTTTGATATAGTAAGAGTGACCATGAACTGTGATTTGAATTTACTGCCTTAGTCTGCAAAACCTCAGAGAGAAAAGATGAAGTAAACCTTTCAAGAATACTAGTATAGCAAAGATAAATTACAGGAGAATCAAGAGTTGAATATTGAAGCTTCATCGTAGGTGGTTTACCCATGGGTTGAACATAGATGTGAAAATCAACCCTCAAGATGTTGAAGGTAGTGGCAAAAACATTGCCCTGAATCATGGGATGTATTAGAGATTTGGCTTGCAAAAACATGGATCAGCCGACTCACTGACTAATTGCTATTGGGTCTTGATAATACAAAAACATATTAAATAATTTTATAGATTTCTACACATTCCAGGAATGAGGCAACTAGAAAACTGACAAGATGGAGTGGTTGTAAAATGCACAGGACAACCTTCCAGAGCTTTCTATGTCACCATAATGTCCCAATAAAATAATATCAAAGGGATTTTAATTGCAGGAATTTAATGATGTTTTCAAATGTCAGGTTGACTTGTGTGCAATCCTTAGGTAAGAACGGGTAATTCTCACATAATACTGCCAAAAACTTTAATGGAAAATACTACTTATGTATTGTATACTGCTTAAATCTCCTTAGCTTACTCAAAATCTCTGAAGCTTTTGATACCACAAATAAAGAGAAATATATTTTTCCTACTTTCTGATAGTTTGGGTTAAAAAAATACTGTTTTATAAAAGAATAAAAAAATACTTATTGAACAATTGAACTTGTACCTGTCATTAATTCAAATTATTCTTCAGGTATTATATAAAGAAAGGATGAACAGATTAAAAATGGTAGCAACAGTGCATTTATGATTCCAAACACATGCTTCAATTCATTTCTCTTTCCTTTTCGAAAAGCATTTATGGAATCTCTTCTACCTGTCAAAAATCTATTCTGGGCCCTGGGAAGACATGAAAAGTGAATTAAGAACATGCTATTATATAGCTTTACAACACAGCAGGGAAAATACAGAGAGAAAAGAAACAAAGGAAGTCAGGTGGCCACAATGCTCAGCAGAAAACGTAAGGAGTGATGCTCTATTAACAGGTCGTAGGAAGGCACCTGAAGATGTCATAGTGAGTAAGTGACTCGGTGAGAGACGAACAGTTTTCATTGCATAATGTATCACTGCAGAACTTAAGAGACTAAAAATAATCCTCTCTTGATCTCTAAAGTCTGTAGAATGTCTGTTTTTTGTTGTTCTTTTTTAAAAAATCTCTTTTTGCTTTGAGATTTCTCATGTCTCTTCAATCAGCTATAAATTTGTCTGAGAGTTGGGTGACCTTGGATGATTTCTTCATATCTGCAGAGACTGGTAAGCTCGATATCAGGGCCAAAATGTCTTTCATTATTTAAGAAGTTAGCCTGGTCTCGTTCACACGGGTTTGGAGGTTTGGAGTGGTTCCAAAAACCACAGAGAAGAAAATTTTAAAGGATAATTGTAAATTTCTGTTTAGATCTCATTTATCATTGTCTTACTGCAAGAAGCAAATCATTTAGTGAAACCCAGAGTCAGCTTGTAAGGGCATTTCCAAAGTGTGTGTGTGTGTGTGTGTGTGTGTGTGTGAAGATAGGTTAGGATACCAATGGACTATTGATGGGAGCTAGCAGTCTGCCTCAGATGTCTGTGAACTAATGAAGTTATATAAAAGTCAGATGAATAGCTCAGTTCAAATAAAGGCAGTGAATGATATAAGACCTATGGGAAAATTAGGAGAGGAAAAAAGAAAGCTAAAGAAGTGAAGTAGTTGAAAAGTATAATTGAAATGATTAGCTAATTAAGCAAGCATCACATAAGGTAGCACATTTTGTTCAGGGAAATGAAAGAGTTTTATGCTAAGTATGAACAATTGCTTTTAAAAATGGTCAAGAACAGTGCTTATAAGGGCAGATTCGTATGGCATGACCATGGAAAATTTCATTTTGTATCCAATTACATAGTGGCTGGAGAATCACTATGATTATGTCACCTTTCTTTTTTAAATGCAGTGTAAAGAAGTTTTATCCATAGAGAATACATGTTCACAAAGTACAAAAGAAAACAAATAAAAGCACAAACATTGAATTATGTAAGTATATGTAGTACCTTGTAACTGTTTACATGACCTTCTGAAACACTAAAAATGCATTCTGATCACATCCCATTACCGAAAGTAAGTCATGAAAGCTCTTCATTTGGAGAAGGACTACAATCCTCTTTCATATCAGTTAGTATTTTTTTTTCTAATAGGAACAATAAGAATATTAGATCTGAAGCAATAGAACTAAAGGAGATAATTTAAGAATGGAGACAGAAAACAGAATAAAATCCAGAAAGAAAGAAAATATTAACAAGTAAATGAAACACTAAACTACATTTAGATAGTTCTGTAAAGCAGAAACTAAATAAAAATATATATGAGGAAAGCCAGTGCTATAGAAAGATGATAAAAGTGTAAGATCAGTCATAAACAGAAGAAAAAAATTGTCAAAGGTGATAAAATATCATCAGCGTAAGGGAAATTTCTGAGAAGTAGATAATAATAGGCATATGGCCATAATATTTATAAGTATTTGACAAGTGTATATCTCAAATAGTAACAAACATTTATAATATAACATTATTTCTCTACTCCATACAAATTATCATTGTTTTATATAAAGAGATCTAGGGAAGGGAGAAGAATGTATTAGTGTGATATGTGCTACAGCAATGAAATAAATATCTGTGACAAAGTAGTTATCAAAAAATGAGATTTACTTTGTTTTTAGATCTAGGCTTTGAAAGCCCAAGATGGAGCACCCCTCACTGATAGACCTCTGTGGAAAACCTCACTGCAGGTTAAGTGAGAGAATGTCTCAAAGGCCTAGAATATTCATGGTACATCAAAATACCTAAGAACTAAGAATCTCTCCAGAAAAAAATGTCTAAATACTACCACCTTTGACCAAATATCCAATGCATGAAACTTTAGGAAGACATTCAACTTCCAAACCATTGCAGTGGGGCTGGTTGTGAAGTATATGGAGGACAAAAGTCATGCTAGGTGGGAGTGGTTCTGCACTAAATGCCCACTAAAGAAGTTGGAGAAATCTCAAACTAGTGACTTAACAGCACGCCTGAAAGCTCTAGAACAAGAAGAAGCAAAGTCTCCCAGGAAGAATAGATGCCAGGAAATTATCAAAGTGAGAGCTGAAATCAATAAAATAGAAACAAAGAGAACAATACAAAAAATTAATAAAACAAAGAGTTGATTCTTTGAGAGAATCAACAAGATAGACAAGACCTTATCCAAACTAACCAAAAGACAGAGAGAGAGCATCCAAATCAACAAAATCAGAAATGAAAAGGCAGACATAACAACTAACACTGAGGAAATCCAGAGAATCATCAGGTCATACTTCAAAAACCTCTACTCCACAAAACTGGAAAATCTAAAAGAAATGGACAATTTTCTGGATAGGTAACACATACCTAAGTTAAATCAAGGCCAGATAAACTATTTAAATAGTCCTTAAGTTTTTTAGAATGGGTGGCTGGATATACAAAAGTTAAGTGAAGTTTCAGAGCTTAAAGCACAAAAAAGTACCCTTTAGGTACTATTAAATGCTGCAGAAGCAGGTAACAAATTAAGCCTTTAGATTTGGGCTTCACATGAAATCTAAGATAAACCAAAATAAAGACAGGAGTTGAAGTAAGAATGCCTTTAAACTCTGTGTCTCAAGATCTCAGTCAATAAAGATATATAACCGAGTTATTGACAAATTGAAAAGATGTGAGGGGAAGACAAATGTGTTTATGAATAATCTTGCTTTTATTCAAATTTTGGAACATTACTTTCTTGAATATAATGAATTACCTTGACAGGTCTACTTAGCTTATGCTTTGTTTGTTGAGAAATATCTTGGTGTATGTAATTTAGAATACTAGAAATATTTATTGCAGTGGTAATCCTTGGGTAATTTAATGTTACAAGTTATGAACTTTTCTGTTTCATTGTTATGTGCAATAAAATATTGCATAGCTCTTTAATGGTCATTTGCATCATAAAGGAAAGAACAGAAATGTGCTTGCTGATTTGCAAATTATTTTCGTAGATATCCACTCTCATTTCCATTTTGGAATGAAGCTCAAAAACTAAAACTGAAGCATTTATATTCTAGGTGACCTTGATGCAATACCTGGTTATAATTATAATGAAGAAGCAGTAGAAAAATAGGAAACATCAAAGGCTAATAAATGCAATTCTCTATGATAATTAATATGAAATTGTCTAGCTTATGTACCACCTATGGTTGTTGAAAATCCTATTCCCACCTATTTTCACAAAGTCTGAATGATAGTCAAGATGGGTTGTTTTTTTTATAACTTATTTTATTTCCACAAAGAACTCATTGGCCACTAATTTATAGACTAACCCTTTTCAAACATCAGGTATCACTCCTGATCTTTGTGTTTGTGTAATGGTGTGTGATGTATGTGTGCCTTTTTGTATGTAGGTTTTATTATATAGAGAGGGGCATGTGTCTGTATAAATGATTGTGTACAAGTATATGATGGGAATATGGAGGCTGGAGGTTGAAATCAAGACCCTTTCTCTATCACCCTTCTCTTTATATATTTCAGCAGGGTCTTGCACTTGAATCTGGCGCTTGTCAGATTGACTAGTCTAGATAACCAACATGCCCTTGGATTCCTCTGCCTTTGCTCCTTCTGAATATTTCTCGAGAGCTGCTATGCCAACTAGACATTGAGTTGGATGCCAAAGATCTGAGCTCTAGTTCTAAAGTTTGCAGTGCAAGCATTCCTATCTGCTAAGTCATCTCCCCAGCTTCACTTTTATGTTTAAAATTGAATATCTAAAGCTTTACTGGTACTGAATTTCTTGGCCAAGAAAAATTGCAGTGTATTAGTTAAGTTAATTAATTGTCTCTGATTATGTCTACTAGCTTAACATTAAAAATGAAACTTTAATAAGAAACAGTTTTCATTTCTACCTAAAAGTCCCTCTGGAAAAACTGTAATACTCTGCTTTAAAATAACTTCTGAAATTTAGCCCTAAAGCTGGGGTTTCAGCACTTCATTGAAAATTCTCCAGAATATGTATTTTCCCAAAACTTGATGCCTCACATAAAGTTAAGTGAGCGCAATTAGTTTAATTAATGGGTAAATCTGAACACCTTATAAACCTGTGCATATAATAGTGTCAGAGTATGAGGGTCTAAGTTTTCTGTAACATTTTCCAGAAAATGGCAAATCTTAAAAACACTGCATGAATATTCATGTTAATGTAAAAAATGAAAATAATTTAAATTTTTTTTTCATGATACCACAGTACCATATGCAAATCTTAAAGGAGTCATCAGGGTTTACACCTAGATTTGGGATCTGTTTTCCTATATTCCTTTTGTTCCTAAGCACAAGCAGCTCCTGGCATGCTGTGTCCTGGTTTCATGGAACTATGACCTGTGTTTCTCCCCCTCTTGAAACTTTCTCTTTCTCACTATTCCTCTAACAGTTCCTTGGTGAATACTTGTGTGTTTTTTGTTTTTGTTTTTGTTTTACCAGTAGTTATACTAAGCTCAAAACTGTACCTTGCAAATTTACAGCAGATAGCTTTTCTTTCCTTTTTTTTTTTTTTTTTTTTTTTATTAATTTATTTTGCAATACAATTCAGTTCTACATATCGGTCACGGATTCCCTTGTTCTCCCCCCTCCCGTCCCCCTCACCTTCCCCCCAACCCCCCCCCCATTCCCATCTCCTCCAGGGCAAAGCCTTCCCCACAGACTGAGGTCAACCTGGTAGACTCAGTCCAGGTAGGTCTAGTCCCCTCCTCCCAGGCCGAGCCAAACAATCCTGCATAGGCCCCAGGTTTCAAACAGCCAACTCATGCAATGAGCACAAGATCTGGTCCCACTGCCTGGATGCCTCCCAAACAGATCAAGCCAATCAACTGTCTCATCCATTCAGAGGGCCTGATCCAGTGGGGACCCCTCAGCCATTGGTTCATAGTTCATGTGTTTCCATTCATTTGGCTATTTGTCCCTGTGCTTTATCCAACCTTGGTCTCAACAATTCTCGCTCATATAAACCCTCCTCATTCTCGCTAATTGGACTCCCAGAGATTCACCCGGGGCCTAGTCATGGATCTCTGCATCCAGATCCCTCAGTAGTTGGATGGGGTTTCTAGCACAACAATTAGGGTGTTTGGCCATCCCATCACCAGAGTAGGTCAGTTCAGGCTGTCTCTCGACCTCTGCCAGCAGTCTGTTGTGTGGGTATCTTTGTGGATTTCTGTGGGCCTCTCTAGCACTTTGCTTCTTCCTATTCTCATGTGGTCTTTATTTACCATGGTCTCCTATTCCTTGTTCTCCCTCTCTGTTGTTGATCCAGCTGGGATCTCCCGCTCCCCCAAGCTCTCTTTCCCTCAACCCTCGCCTTTCATTACCCCCACTCATGTCCAGGCTGTTCATGTAGATCTCATTCCATTTCTCTGTCATTGGGTGATCCCTGTGTCTTTCTTGGGGTCCTGTTTTCCAGGTAGCCTCCCTGGTGATGTGAGTAGCAGACAAGTCATCCTTGTTTCATGTCTAGTATCCTGCTATGAGTGAGTACATACCATGTTTAGGACTTCAACATAAATCCAGCTACTCTGAACCTGCTAGAAGAGAAAGTAGGAAGTAGTCTTGAACGCATTGGCATAGGAGACTACTTCCTAAATAGAACACCAGTAGCACAGACTCTGAGACAAACAATCAATCAATGGGACCTCTTGAAACTGAGAAGCTTTTCTTTCCTTTTTTTACAACACTATTTCATTTCACTGTTTGACAACGGAATATCATTTTGAAAGTATTATTTAAGAAGTAATTTTGTTCACTCATGTGACATTTATTCACATTAAATTGCAGGATACTAAGCTGAAAAGAAACTGTGAATCTGTGATATCAATACATTTTCTTTATTTTTACTAGGTAAGTGATACATCATTTTCATTCGTCCTAAGATTTAATGGCAGTATGTGTTTCTTCTCCTCGGTTTTTCTTTTGTATTTCTAATTTCAGTAACAAGATAACATGGTTCCATGTGCTTCTTTATACTCCTTTATCCACGTTCATCCTCTCTACCCTGTTGTATACCCATCTGCACAATTTTCCCATCTCTCTTGCTGCTGAAACATTAACACTCACAGCAGCTCCCTGTACTTTTGTTTCCCTGTATTGTAATGTCCACCCTCTTTTAAATTAGACCCCGAATGTCCCTTTTCTAGTCGATTGGCTTCTACAAACACACCATGTTAAATAACCGAAGCCAATGGGTTAAAGGTAAGATCACTGTGAGGAAAAATTTGCTGCATTTGTTCCTTTCAGCCTGGATTATCTCACTTTTATAGTCGATTATCCTTCATTGCCTGGACATGGAGCTCTTCTTCTGTATTTACAGACATTGTGAGAACATTGGGGAGATAAATATATATGAAGGGTTTCTCTCCACCAAGATAGGGGACATGAGTCAGAATTTCTGGACCCACATGTTTTTAGGAGAAAGCTAACTCCCTCGAATGAAATTGTCCTGTGCCATGTTGAGCACGCACGCGTGCACACACAAACACACACACACACACACACACACACACACACACACACACACACACACACACTAACACATGCACACAATCAAATGATCAATCAATGATCAATGTTAAAAATGAAACAAAAAAGAAATAATGTTTGAAGTTGGTAATTGTGGGCCAGCAATGATAAAACAGATTGCTGTGGAATTAGGAATACAGGTGTGGAAAACAGAAAGCTCTAGAATTGAGTATGTGTAGAGCTCTATAGCAGATTGTTTTCACTGTAGGGAAATATATTTTTCTATTATTTGCTTATTTTATCTTTCCAGTTAGGTGGGCAACAGGACAAATTTTAAGATGGGGAATTTGAGAAGAAACACCAGCCACCCAACCACCTTGTAAATTTACATTTTTTAACCAATTTACTAACTTGTTTATTAATTGAATCATTGACTACTCCTTCTTCCTTTTTCCCCTCTTCTTTAGGTTCAAATATTTCTGCTCAATGACTGTGCTGCTATGATAAAGGACATGGTTTCTTTGAATAACAATAACAGCTGACCATCTTTCTGCTTTTCCTCTTGGACTACTCTGGCTGGGTTTGGGGTTCTATTCAGTACTTGCTTTGCTGTGTATCTGTCTTTGATTTCCTCATACCTGTACGTGACATAAATCAAGATGTGGTACCATGTGGGGCATACATGGGCTGCAAAGAGGGTGCCGAAAGAAATTCAGATAAATAGAGCTTAAACTTTAAGCTGTTTACTCAGAGAATGGATACAAATGGTACCAGAGGAAGTTAGTTTAAGCTGTTAGTGCAGAGAATAGATACAAAGGATGGCTAAGAGGAAGTTAGCTTGGGTTGTTTGTATGGAGATTAAAGACAAATGGTGAGAAAGGAAGTTAGCTCAAGTTATTTATGCTAAGATAAGATACTAAAAACAGGAGATGATGTCAAGACATAAACAACTTGTAAATAGGGTGACCTTTAAAATGATTGGTTGGTTCCTTCAACCCCTCCTAGGGATCTGAGGGTTTCTGGTATAAAAGAGGCTTACTACCTATCAATAAAGGAGTTCTTGCTTGACTTGACTCCCCGCTGCCTCTGATTGTCTCTAGGTAAGAGGGAGGCTGGGGAAAGGGCAAGCAGCATGCACTTACCTTTCCTTGGTTCCAGGCCACCTCTTCACAGGTGACCTAAGTTCCTGGTGGGGCAGGTCCCCACAGTACCAGGCAACACATGAACCGATACTGTGCAACAGGTTGTTCATGAGGTTCACCCATGGAAATACTGCTTGCAGTCCAGTGTCATGTGTCAGTCATAGTTCCTGAATTGGACTGTTCTGATCACCAATAACTAAACTAGTGAATAAGTAGTGAATATATTATATCTATTAAAGCATACATTTATTTACTGTAGAGAAGCCTTGTGTGAATAAAGACATAATATAATGTAATTGACATGAGCTCAAACACTTTACAAATATAATAAATAGAAACTATCATTACCTCCTTAAAAGCCATCATCCATCATTATTTTTATCTTACTGTATAAATAATAATAAAAGAGGAGTAACAACCAGCAGGCAAGTACACAAGCAAAAGGAATACAACTCCCCTCCAAAGTCAGCTTATTATGCTACTTCCAAACTCTGGATTCTATATTCATTTACACATTTTTTTTTTGTTTTTTTGAGACAGAGTTTCTCCATGTCATTTTGGTGTCTGTCTTGTGCTGTGGGATGTTCTGTATGCTGTGAATGTATTACTCTGAATGGTTGAGTAGCCAGGCAGGAAGTATAGGTGGGACAAGCAGAGATGAGAATTCTGGGAAGTGGAAGGCTGAGTCAGGAGACACTACCAGCTGCCAGTGCCATGAGAAGTAAGATGTAAGGATACCAGTAAACCACGAGCCATGTGCAATGTATAGATTTATAGAAATGGGTTAATTCAAGATATAAGAACTAGATAGCAAGAAGTCTGTCTTGGCCATACAGTTTATAAGTAATATAAGTCTCTATGTGTTTACTTGGGTCTGACTGGCTGCGGGCCCAGGTAGAATTGGAGAAAACTCCAGCTACAGTTCTGGATCTTGCTCTATAGACCAGGCTGGCCTTGAACTCACAGAGATCCACCTAGATCTGTCTCCTGAGTGCTGGGATTAAAGATGTGTGCCACTGCTGCCCAGGGGAGTCTATATTCATATCAAACCCAATATACTCAAAATAAATCTTTCTCAACCAATATAGACCCATTAAGGGTATATAATATTATATAATAAGTAGTGATTTATTTTGTTTTCTATGTTTTTTTTTTGTATTGGACACATATTCTTCGAGTAAGTTTGGAGAGTTCAGAGTAAGCTGAGAAATGCAAGGGCTGGGGAGGCAGTGATGACTGGGAACTATTTACATGTGGATAAAGAAGTTTTAGTGTCCTCTTTACAGGAAGGTGTCTACAGATGACAATAATGTTCTACAAATCTCAAAAACTAGAAGGGTTTTTAGTGATTTCATCACCATGAAAAATGGAAACAACCATGTTCTCAGGTTGAAAACAATTAATTAAGAAATGAACCTGTAGGAGACATTTATTATTCAGACCACAACACAAAGCCTATTCTTTTGAGGCTTTTCAGAGCTTGTGGACCTGCAAATATGGTTTCAGATTTCTTTTTTTCATAACTACTTCTTTTCATTATTATTATTAGTAGTAGTAGTAGTAGCAGTAGTAGTAGTATACAAATATTATGTAATAATATAATATATAATATAAAGATATAATTATAGTTAATATGATTATTATTTGACTTTAGAGGGAAGGGTTTCTGTGCAGCCCTGGCTGTCCTGTTACTAATTCTACAGAACAGGCTGCCTAAAAACTCAGAGATCTTCCTGTCTCTGTCCACAATGCAAGGATTTAAGGTGTGTGCCACTGCTTTCAATTTTCTCCAAAACTTTTAAAAATACATCTACTATTTTGAAGAAAATTACTGTATTCATTTCTTTGTTAAGAATCAAAATGAAACATGTATATCATTCTATACAATTAAATGCAAATGTTGAGAAAGCTCTTAGAGGAAGAGTAAGCTTTGCGAGAATGTCTCCTGCCTGGTGTATTCATGAATTTTTCAACTATACAGTATTTTAAAGATAAAATAAGATAAAGTATGCTGGTATGAGTCTTAAATATGCACAGAAACAAGTAAATCAATTCAATTATATGTAACATGAATAAAAATGCCTTGTGATAAGGAACAAAAACAGGAATTTAATCATATTTTATATACACTATTTTTAAAGTAAAGCTCCAGCTCTTAAGACAAATTGTGAAAAAGTTTCTAAATATGGAAACATTTTTGTGTTAATATAGACTGGTGATATTGTAAGTACATTTAATGTAAAGTAATTCAGATGAAGTAGAATTCACATTCTGGACTGAGGTGGCAAAGTACTTCACTATTGTAAGAAAGAATGATATGGAAAAGGGTCTAGGAATAGAAAAAAATCTCTAATTTTGGATTCAGATGAAAAGTAATGGTTTAGCTAGCCACACATATACATAAATTCACCACTATGCTGTGTCTGCTGCTTTTAGAATGGGGATGACAGTATTCAATGAAAACAGTAAAGGGAGTCAAGATTTACTGTGATTCATGTTTTCAGAACATTCCAGTCCATCATGGCAGGGATCAGAGAAGCAGCTTAAGTGAACAGCAGACAAAGTATCTTAAAACATAAAACAGCATCTTTCAATGAGTATGTATAAATTTTTACATAACTTATGCTTATGTCTTTAATATATTTTCTCCTTTCTAAGTTTTAAGTAATTTTATTTTGATATCATTTTTAAAATTTATTTCTCTCGCTCATACAGTCTAGGCTGGGCTGACTCCCCAGGGGAGACCTTGCCTTCGAGGAGGTGGGAATGGTGGGTGGATTGAGGGGGAGGGCTGGGGGGGTAGGAGGAAAGAGGACAGGGGAATCCGTGGCTGATATGTGAAATTAAGTTAATTATAAAATAAAAATATTTTTTAAAAATTAAAATGTATTTCAATCAAAATTTGCAATGAAAATAAATTATATGTATTTTAAAAATGATATATGACAAATTAAAAAATAAAATGTACATTATAAAAATATTAAACCTGCATAGAAAGTGATATGTGTTGATTTTCTGTCCATGGAATTCATTTTTCTTAGTTTTTGAAAAATTCTGATAAAAACTGTAAAAATAGTAAAAAAAAATCCTATGATTAAAAATCTTTTGACAATAACCATCAGAAACTAAAAAAAAAAAAAATTCCTAATATTTCCATCTCTAAAAGGGAAAATTTTCAGTTATCAACAAAAACTAATTAAGATTATCAGAGCATATGTGTTTGGAGAAAACTCATATGTTTATAAAAAATATTTTTCATTATGATATGAATTATGAGTCTAAGTTTTCTTTCCTTGTCAAGGTAACCATTCCAGATGACGAACATGGGATGCTGAGGAAACCGTAATTTTGAGGGTTAATGTTAAATCACCATTTTTACATGCCTCTTCCTCATTAGATCAATAATGCAAGAGGACTAATGTAATGTCAAAGGAATTGCATTCATCAAACTGGAAATATCTTGTGGCTATTCCTCAGTGTAACTCACCCCTCAAAAAAATACTATTGAAAGTGTTTATTGAATCAATGAATACCTAGGGGAGATTATATATAACATGTTAGAAAAGAAAATGCAGGAAATGTATTAATAATTGCCTAACATAAATAAAAAAGACCTTATGGCCATGGTATATAGAACATAATTTACACATATTAAATCTGTGATATATTTCATTTTCTAGACATAAGGTTTTAATACTATAAGCTAAGTACTATAAGTCAGATTGTGTTGATATTTCTAATCATTTTTATTTGTGTTAGTTGATAACTCATACATCATCTTCAGGCTGAAAAGACTGTTACAAACATTAGTTGAAAGAATGAAAAAATTCCAGAAGGCATCACATTATCTTTCAGTCTTCAATGTTTTCAGCAATGTATCTAATTTCTTACTATGATTTTCATGGTGGGATGATGATAAGAAAACTTTTTCTAAAAAACATAGTTTTCCTTAAGATTATAAACTATTAGTAAAATTTTCTATCTTTTAAATAAACAGTGAATAATTGATAGGATAATTTGTTAAGTCAGATGTCAGAAATTCATAAACAATAAAGTAATTCAGTTATAACTGACAATTATTTAATAATGCAGCATTTATAATTGCAATAATTTATTGAAATAATTTATAATTTGTGCACCAGACATGCCTAGTCATTGGTAAGTTGTCGATGCACCCCTTAAAATCAAATAGATTCATTAATTACTAAATTGTTAATTCAAAGCACAAAAGAAGCTATGACATACTGTTTCATATGACTCATATTTAAAAAGGATGACTGAACCAAACACTGAGAAACAAATTTTGATTGGAAGCAAAATTTGGTTCCACTACTGCTATGAATATAAAATAGACAACCATATTTGAGAAACCATCTTTCCAATAAGTGTTGTCAGAATTCTCACCATTCCTGTAAAGCGTGTGGTAATCCGATAGTGCAATGATACAGCCACATAACTCCTATGTCTTCATCAAGAGGTAAAATGGGCCGGGTGGTGGTGGCACACGCCTTTAATCCCAGCACTCGGGAGGCAGAGGCAGGCAGATCTGTGTCAGTTCGAGGCCAGCCTGTCTCCAAAGGGAGTTCCAGGAAAGGCGCAAAGCTACACAGAGAAACCCTGTCTCGAAACAAACAAACAAACAAACAAACAAAAGAGGTAAAATGGTGAAAAAAATACATGTCTACAGGCTGCACATGAGTCCTGCTATGAAAGATATATATGATTGCTAAAAACAATTCAAATGTCAATCAGTAAGTGAATCAATACGTTATAGTAGCCTAATAGACAGGATATTAGCAATACAATTGAGATTACTGATGAAACAAAACCATGAATATTAAAATATTTGTGCAAAATTAAAAAGGCTAAGACTCTTCAAATAATATATATCACCCCAATTCTCCATTAAAGTTCTCAAGAGTATGCTGCCT